GATGTGTCTTCCAAACTGTATCACCATCTGTGGGAAGAAGTCAATATTTGAGACTAGTTCAGTTCCTACACTTCAAACAGCACAGGGTAAAAGTTTTACATTGATATGCTCATGTACTTTTGCATCACATCCAAAAAAACCAGTCAGAGGTGTGACAAACTCCTACAAAAAATGCTTCTGTGGTAACATGACACTGAAAGCTTTGGGTAAATTCATCCATGTCAACAAATGCAAAGAAATGCATGCAGAGACTGGAGCAAATTTAACTGGAAATACAATAGCAGCTGAAATTCCCCCTGGCTCTCACCATTAGGAGATCTTTCTACACTTGTCAGCTTTTACTTTCAGCATCCTGGAAAGGCACTTTCTGTTCACAGCGAACTGTCACCTCACAGTATACCCATTTTCTACATCATTTTGAACCTACTGAAAGGGAGGCACTTGTTGACCTACACTTTCCTTCACTGTGAGCAAAGATTTATCTTCTCAAGCAGTTAAACCATGACAAGACCTTCACTTCTACCTTTGGTAAGGAAATACTCCAACAATTTTTGAGAGAAACACAGTGTCACCTAAACCTAACCCATTTACACAATTTCCACATCCTTCACATGGCTGATTTGTGAGCAGGATTCTCCTCTGAAGAAGCCAGAATGAGGGTGAGTCAATGCATTTCCCAAGAAGCAGCACAGAAGGTACCAATCAGTGCAGTGACACTGTTTGAAGGGAGATCCCCCCATCTCTTATCTCTAGGAAATACTAGAACAAGGTACAGGAATACCAGAGACACACAAAATATGCCAACTATCACACTGCTTTAGCCTCATTTATCTGATCTCCAGAGGCATCAACACCCCTCAGCATTTTGATCCTATTTCAAAATCCCCTGACTATCAATTTACACCAAACAAAGTCTTTCCTACATTTAAAACTGTCCTCCTGCACTGATTTTAACTAAATTACACTTCAAAAGAGAAAGCTGCTGCTTGGAAACTAGAAATAGACATCAAAACACACTCATGAAATTTCCCTGATAACTGACACTGGCCTAGAGTAAAAACGTCCAAGGAATGACATGGTTTGTTTTTTAAAAACTATTTATTCCCTAATCCTGAAGAGGTCTGCTGATCTACAGCCACTAAAAAACACTGAAGACAACAGCATTTGTCAGAACATTCCAATTGATTCAGGGTAGAAACTCTTAAAGGCTCTTAAATGAAACTCATTTTGGCTGTGCCTTGTGCCAGCTGATTCACAGGGCTGTCACACACTGCAGACACAGAAGCTGTGGGGAAGCTGAGAGGTCCTGAGCCGCTCCAGGGAGCATCTCCCTGGAAGGACTCAGGCTTGAGGAAGAGGATTTGATGAGCACAGCAGGAATCCTGCTGGATCCATACTCTGAAGGGATGGTGGGGTCTGTCTATCTGTCCACCAGCAGTGCTGGTGTGCTCAGCAGCAGGTCCTGCAGACCTGAAGGTGATCAGCTACTCCAGCAGAGCCCTGAGCATTTTGTCCAGACTTACAAGACAGACATAAAGAGCTGGAGCATATCCAGGAAAGAGAACAGAGCTGGGAAGGGTCTGGAGAACCAGGAGGGGCTGAGGGAGCTGGGAAGGGCCTGGAGAACCAGGAGGGGCTGAGGGAGCTGGGCAGGGTCTGGAGAACCAGGAGGGGCTGAGGGAGCTGGGCAGGGCCTGGAGAACCAGGAGGGGCTGGGGGAGCTGGGCAGGGGCTGAGCCTGGAGCAAAGGAGGCTCAGGGGCCCTTGTGGCTCTGCACAAGTCCCTGCCAGGAGGGCACAGCCAGGGGGTCGGGCTGTGCTCCAGGGAACAGGGACAGGAGGTGAAGGAACGGCCTCAAGTTACACCAGGGGAGGTTGAGCTTGGATATTTGGAAAAATTTCTTCACTGAAAGGGTTTTCTATCCCTGGAAAGGCATTCCATGGCAGTGATGGAGTCCTCATCCCTGGAGGAACTCAATAACCATGTGGATGTGAGACTTGGGGACATGGTTTAGTGGTGGCCTTGGCAGCGCTGGGAGAACCAGTTGGAGTTGATCTTTGAGGGCTTTTCCAACTGAACTATTCAATGATTCTATGAAAAAGAGCTATGAAAAAATCAGCTTTGGTGTCTAATTGTTAAAAAAGACAAATGCAACTTCAGGTGACAAAGAGACACCTCACTGAAAAATGTTGAAAAACAGCAGCAAAAACATTTTCTAAAAGGTCACACAATGTTCTCCTAATGCACTGCAACAGAAGCTCCCAGTAGCCTTGTCCCAAAGCATTACTCTGCATTATCCCTACAATAACACTGGACAGGATGCAACTTTCACCATATTTCACTCTTATCCAAGTTTCATTATTAAGTGGCTAATTTAACCACTGTCACTGATTAATTAGAATAAAAAAGCCAGAAGCAGAACTAGCACAATACAACAAAACAAGATTAAGCTCCACTGGAATCTACTCTGAATATTTTTTAAAATTCCACGTCAACAGACATTTCCTTTTTGAAAATTGTTTGTGAGCAGTTGATGTCCCTATTAGAGAAACATCTGGAGTCTCTGTTTTTGAATATACTGCTCAACATTTCAGACTGACCTTTTCATTTCTAAATCAGGTTTCATCCAGATCTCTTCAGAAAAAAAAAAAACCCACAACCCATTGCTGGTTTCTAGTGATGTAAGTACAGCAGCTGGCAGCTCACTGTACCTCAGAAAGTCACCAAAAACCTGAATTGTACTTCAGGAGGCCTCCTGAACACTGCTGAATGTATTACAGAATCATGGAATGCTTTGGGTGGGAATGGACTTTTAAGCCCATCCAGTTCCACTTCTGCCATGGGCAGGGACACCTTCCACCATCCCAGGTTTCTCCAAACCCCATCCAACCTGGCCTTGGACACTTCCAGGGATCCAGGGACAGCCACAGCTTCTCTGGGCACCCTGTGCCAGGGCTTGCCCACCCTCCTAGACAAGAATTTCTTCCCAATATCCCATCTAACCCTGCCCTCAGGCACTGGGAAGCAATTCCCCCTTGTCCTGGAACACCATGCCTTTGTCACGAGTCCCTCTCCAGCTCTCCTGAAGCCCTTTAAGGCACTGGAAGGGGCTCTGAGCTCTCCTTGGAGCCTTCTCCAGGTGAGCACCCCCAGCTCTGCCAGCCTGGCTCCAGAGCAGAAGTGCTCAACTCCACATCATCATGTTGAGCCTGCCAACCACCAACACTCCAAGTCCTCCTCCTCCTCGGGGCTGCTCTTGGATCCATTCTCTGCTTGGCCTCTATCTGCTCTTGGAATTGCCCCAATCCATGTGCAGGACCTTGCACTTGGCCTTGCTGAACTCCACAAGGCTCACAGGGGCCCCACCTCACAAGTTTGTCACAGAGTCCCTCCAGAATTCCCTTTCCAAAGCCATGTTTCTCCACACTTTTCTCTATTAAGTACATCCCTTCTTCAAAACTCCTCACACATTCAGCAAGCCTCCACTTTTAAAAATTCTTCTTTCTTCCTCTCCTCACTAGACCCTTCCCATCTGAATTTACTGAGCTTCCATAACACTCTGCTAACATTTTCCCTCCAAAATCCCTTTATAATCATTTAATCACATAAAATCACAACTCTTCCACTGTGTCTCCTCCACAGCTCTCCTTTTGTGCATTCCTCCTTTCCCCCATCCCAGCCAGGCCTCCTAAGCTTTAGAGAAACTCAACTGGATGTGGCACAACCCCAGCAAGAAGGAAATGCATCCCTTAAACACCAGACTGACCCACACTGCTTTGTGCAGGAAGAAAAACACAGCAGCCTCTTTTTGACTAAATACAACAATTTTACCTTTCCACAGCTCTGTTATGACAGAAACCAGAGTATCACATTCAGTTTTGTTATTGCCCATTTTGTAAAGGATGTTCCAATCAGCAAGAACATGACACAGAGATTCAAGAGCTACAGGAAATTCCTGTGAGATTTTTGTTTTTCAGCTCAGGCTATTTGTCCTACTTGATCACAACCTCTAAAAAACCTTTGCTATGAAAAAAAATGAGACCATTAAAGTGTTATTTAATCTGGTAAGGAAGCTCACAAAATTAGCCATGACAAGAAACTGAGAAATACAAATGAGAAATGATGTTTTTATACTGTTTTCAAATAGCTGAGGAAATCAACTCCTGAATTTGTCAAAAAGTGGTGAGATCTGAAACTTCTCATACCTCCAAGAAGAGGTGGCATGAATTTTCCTCTGACAAAGAAGTAATGAACACAAAATACAATATCCACACAAAACTTGAAGATGTACAGTGAAATGAATTACAGAAGCCAAAGGTCTTGGACATTTTTTGTCTGGTCCTATAACCCAAGCCACATTCATTTCAGGTTTCATACGTCAAATACCGAGCAAGAGAGGCCAAGGAAAATGGTTCAAATGAATTCCACGAAAGCTCTCGGGGTTGTGTAGCCCTTGGCAGTAACCCCTGTCCTCTAGATTTCCATCTGGTAGTTGTCCATTTCTATTCATTTTTGACAGAAGTTAAAAAAATAAACAATTGGTTTCTGAAGCTCAAACACCAGGATCAGGTCTGAAATGTTCATTAGCAAGTTCTTGGAACCTTCCAGTGGGAGGTGTCCCTGCCCATGGCAGCAGGGCTGGAACTGGATGATCTTTAAGGTCCCTTCCAACCCAAAACATTCTGTGATTCTGTGATAAGTCTGGATGTTCAGCCACAGAAAATTATTTAACTCATGCTCTACTTGCTGAGCTGATTTTTTGGCCGATCATTTCTGCTTTTGAGAAATAAACCTTTCCCCTCCAGGATTCTTAGCACTTCAAAGCCACCTCCAGCTCATCTTTTCCCCATGTAAGCATTTCAAAACTCTTCAGAACTTGAAGGTCTGAACTCTGTGGCTCTCACTCTTATACTGCACTTCTACACAAGTACTTTAGGAGGGGCATTTTTGAGGGCAACCATTGATGTATTTTCAAAAATATGATGTTTGCAGAACTTACCTCTTTCTCAGTATCCCTGGATATACAGGTCCACTGGTTTTCCTTCACACTGTATGCCCAGAAGTCAGCCAGATCTTGAGTTCCATCCCAGCCACCAAACAAATAAACAGTTTCTATTTAAAAAAAAATAAATTAATTTTTAAAAGAGAATGTGTTTAAACAGGCTAATGCCTACAAAACATCTGTGACAGAGACAAACTATCAGAAGATAAATTTAAACTCTTTTTTTTTTACTTAAAACACCACTGCTTTTTGAATGGAACTAGTCATCAACACAAAAATGTGGTTTGGTTTAGTAATGGAAGATTTTAGGATTGATAGACAGCCAATTCTCAGAGTCATTTTCTATTTCCACATTTACATAAGAGGCAATCAAACCCACAGCCTTCTGATTAAAATTCCAGACAGACAAATGAACAATATTTAACATTTTGGATCCTGTGCATGTAGTCTATCAATGACATCTCATCCTGTGCCCTGTTTGGTGCAGGATTTATACATCAACAACGTTCTGGAGATAGGAGCAGCAAAGTTTTTCTGTTTAGTCCATCCCTCAGATAGAAAAATCAAGTACAAAATCTTCTTCAAGGGAAATGCCTTGCATAAAGTAACTTACCTGATGCCACAAAAGCCAGTGAGTACAAGAGTCACAAATTTAAGTGAGTATCTCAGGGCTGTCACCTCAAACCCACAGCAAGTTCTAAGGCTTCCCAGACTCACTGATAAAGCCAGATGAAGCCTTTGAAAAGGGGAAACATTTAAGAAAGGAGTTTCTGTTCTGCCATGGAGAGATAACCAAACTGCTCCCATTATAGAAACAGCACTATCTGGTCTCAAATTCTAAAAATACTTCATTTTTAGACTGCATTAAAACAGAACACAAAGCCAAGCTCAAGAAGAACAAGCTCCTCAAGACTTGCAGAGCTTTGAAAAACTCCTTTAAAATCCACAAACCACTTCCATTATGGAGGTAATGGCCAATTTTTAATCCAACACCAATTAAAACATGGAGTTAGAGCACGATTATAAAATGGGACTGGTCCCTGACCCTTACCTACCATCAGGATAGTGGTCATCACCATGGAAAGGTTACCCTGGTTCATTAACTTTAATTACCCTTCCTCCTGGACTCAGGGCTCCCAGCTCCCAGTGTTCCCTGCAAAGAGCAGGTCCCTTTGTGAGCATAAATTCTCACAGCTCACAAAACCCACATTACCACAACAGCTTCATTGATAGCCGAGAAAAATAAAAGATTTGGCACCAGCTAAAAATCCTCCTGGGGCCTTGCCAAAATGTCAGGCCTGCCTGGAAAGGCTTTGTTGGCTCACATGAAATTTAATAGCAAACCTGAATGACTCTGATGAAAACTCAGATTTTGGAAGTTACCTAACCCAAGCTGACAGAATTAAATGTGAGCACTGAGAGAGGAGCAGGAGCACCCAGCTGGTGCTGAGCATCCCCAGAGCAACACCCTGAACACAACTGGACATGGACTCTGTGCCAGACCCATTTTACATCATGAAGTAAAACTGCAGCTCACATGAAAGAAAGGCTCCATCACTATTTAGACCCAAAGAAAAGAATTTTTTGTTTATTGCCTTATTGCAGAAGTATATACATATTTTAGAGGGAGGTTTCATGTTTTAAAAGGAATGTTTCTTAATGCATAAATGCATCTGTTGCTGGTAATGTCAAGTAAATAACTTTTTATAGTTCTCCTAAAATTTGTAATTGCTTTCCCATGGTATAAAGCAAAAAAATAGTTGTTCGGTGGTTTGTGGGATTGTTCTTGTTTAGTTGGGGTTGGGTTTGATTGTTTTGGTTTGGTTGGGTTTGAGTTTTTTGGGGATTTTAAAGTTTTTTTTGAAGTCGAGCTTCACTCTGTTTCCCAACCAGTATCACTGCTTGCATTCTAGCTGTTAATTCAGATTTTATGGGAGGGTTTTTTTCACTCTGCACGCAGAGACCCAACCAGGACAGATATGAAAGGCCAATATTCAAAGAAGAGGACAGAGGCCACAAAGCCCAGGCAGCAGCAGTGGGGCAGCCCAGCAGTCTCACACCAATATAGCTCTGGTAGCGCTGGGGAGCTCAAGGAGGAAAGGATCCTCCCTCTGCATCCAAGCAATATGGAACACAGCAAATTGATGCTGCTTTATTAAAGTAAGTCTCTATTCAGCTTTAGGAGCAGAGCAGGAGAATTTTCAAACCTAGCTGCAAGGCAACAAGAAAAAAAACATGAAAGCAATTATATTTACCCAAAGCTTTTACCAGCTACGTTTAGGAAGTCAAATTTCTCCTCCAGCATCCTCAGCTTATTTCCTCTACATTTTTTTCTGAATACAAATTCAACACTTTGAATTAAATATGTTCTGTGAGTATTTCTAAACTGCTTGCTCAGTCAAAAATTTTTCTGTAATGTCTGAGTTCTTTTCTTCCCTTACTCTCCAGATGATTAAAAGGTGCCAGAGAAGTCCTCAAATTAGAGGACGTACATCCCCAACAATCCACATATTTCCTGTCAATCTCTCCTTAATTTCTATTTCTCAGAAAAGCAGCACAGCAGCCTTCCCCAACTCATGAAATATCAAAATTCCTGGGGTGGTTTCAGTCCAGGTTCAGACACATTCTCAGGGACAGTTCTCAAACTCCTGTTATCTGTATTTTCTCCATGTGCTGAAATACTTGGTGGGATTCTGGTACAGGAGGTCTTCCTCAGTGAGTACATTCCAGTCCTGCTGACATATTTAACTACATTCTTTGGTCAAGTAGTATTTCCATGTCTCTGCTAGAACAGTTATCTAAGGAATATAAAAAAATTGTGGATCTACAGCACTTCTGCAAGGTGCATCAGTCATCCCCCAAATCCCTCACAGGAGGGCTAACTTCAGCAGAGACCACATTGCCCAGGGAATTATTCAGTTATACTTTGTCCAAGGAGGGACATTTCAGACTGGATCCCTGCTGCAATGACTAATTCACTTCATTACAATTTTTCCTCCTAATATCCAACAGGATTTTCCCTTCCTGTCCTTTATCTTATCCCTCTGCTCCCCCAGAATGAGCCTGGCTATCTCCATGCTCTCACCACTAGCTCTAGGACAGCTCTAGGATCCTCCCATGAACCTTTTTCAATCAAAACCTGAAGGATTCCTCTCAGAAATAACAAACCAACCAAGGTGTAAGATCTCTCAAAAGCCTTCTACAAAAGGATGTCACTTCTCCAAGCAGCACCCACACCTTTAGTTACGTGCCAGCAGCGCTGCCCACTTTGTGAGGAGCATTTAAGAGCACAAATATAAAACCAGCCTTAAATCTTCTTGCAGTAGCACACTCCTTGGGTTCTGAGCCACAGTTCAGCTGGATACAAGTTGGCTGAATACAAGGGGTTTTTTTAAGGATAGGCACACAGTCTCAAATGTGAAAGCCCCATGAAGTTGAGTAACCTCCAGGATTCAGCAGCTGTTTGTGTTTCAGAGCTTAGAAGCCATCTGTGTTTTGTTTCTGAGATCCCTTCATCCTGTACACAAGTCTTGTCTTTAAATATCTTATGGATAGCAGTGCTTTCCTCAGGCAAAACAGCATCCTTCATGTCTGCTGCTCTCTCTTCATCTTTTTCATCTTTCCATGCTGCTTTTGAAGGAGCCTTGTCATTTCTGCTGTGCTGCCCACGTACACAATGGGCACGCTGGGCCCAGTGCTCTGAATCTCCCTCTGTTCCCAACCTACAGATTTATCCTCATTTATCTAATGGAAGGAAGCAAACGGAATTCCTCTGGACGAAAGGAAAAGCAAAAATGATGTACAACGAAAATTACACAGCAGTTGCACTTCGGTGAGAGAACAGAGGTATCACATCAATAAAGACCATTTCACTAATGTTTTCTCTCAAAAAAGTGTTTCACTTGCCAAAGAGAAGAGAAATGGAGACAGAAGAAAAATCATCCTGGTTGCTTTGCTGTTATTTCTAAAGCAGGCTCATGGGAAAAGTTCAACATTTAAGAAAGCCTGATACAACACCAAATATCTTTTTTTTTAATAGAATGATTTCTACATGCTCCCTATTTCTATTGTTACCAAAACAATTACAAGGCTTTATGGACTGCACTGTCATTCACTGTGTCTGCCCTGTAAGAGCAAAACAGATCAATTCCACCTTGCCTATGGAATTATAAACCCCATCTCCAAAACACAACACACATACTGCTCCTAAGTACCAACATCACTCCTTGAAACTTGCTTTTGGCAATTCACTTACCCATTCTCTCCTCCAGAATAAGCCCTGGAATGTTGAAACATGCGGCATATCTGATCCATAAGGAGGCCAGGGGGGGCAGACACAAAGAGCTGGTAATAAGGAACCAGTGCCAGATGCTGACACCCTCATCCAAACCTGCATTAGGGCTCAATTCCCTGGGAACACAGTTCTGCACAAGAGCTTGAGTGTTACTGCCCCAGTATTTCCCCAGGGCCTACACAAACAGCTTCTCATGCCTGACATGCAGCACACAACACTGTTCTTGTGTACTTTTGAGGTTGTTTGGGGGATAATTTTGTTTTAATCTATGTACCTGGGTTGCAACTACTCAAATGCTTCTCCTTCCTTGTAGAAAAGCAGAGAGAACTCTGCAGCCTCCCACATAGAGAGCTGCACCTTGCAGGGAAAAGCAGGAATAACAGGAGCTTTCTGTTTTCATTTGCAGCCTAAAGCTTTAAAGTACCTAACAGTGGTTTCAGCTGTAAATGTGAATTTTTCTTTGTTTATGCTTCTGCACATAAAAACCAAATCAAACTTCCTCATTCTCCCATCCAGAGTCATTCCAGTCTCAGTGTTAATGTGATTAAAATGATGGAGGATATTGAGGGAATCACCAACTTCCCATTTTTAACTTCTTTTTTTTTTTATATAGAAAGACATCAGGCTGCTTTCTCAGTTCTGCATCCCACAATGCCTCCAGTTCCATTTCAAACTGCTTTAAGAGATTTCCAAAGCATCAGGAACACTGCACTTACTCAGTCAGCTGTGGCAGGTATTAAGAGCAGGAGTACCAGATGGAAATGAGCTCCAGCACAAGTTACTGGCTGCCAGCAGAGATGCTAAATTCTCTTTCAGTTACTTTCAGCCTACTCTAAGTGAAAGACAAACCATGCTAAAAGGCAGTTTAGACCAAGCTGATCCATGTTCCACCCAAAACAGATAAACAAAGTCTCAGTGACTCCAAGCAGCAACTTAAGGTCTATTTCAGCTACTCAGCAACCAATATCCTCTACCTTGACACCAGCACCTGCATCCAGCTGGTAAATAAATTAGAATTATTTTTCTAGTCAGTAGTAAGTGGTTAAAATCTCTTTGAGGTTAATCAAAATACTGAACCATTTCTAGTTCATTTATAGCTACAGCAGATCAGGACATCAGAGATGAAAATTTGCTTCCAATACTTAATTCTACATGATCTGAAACTTCAGAATCTCCTTGTAAGTATGATTTTTGCGGTTTCATTTCACTTCCAAAAGACTGAAGTTGAAGAAAATACTGATTTTTGAGAAGGACCAAACTCCTTTAACAAGGACTGCAAAGTGAGATGATTTTTCTTCAGTTGCCAAACTCTCCTGAAAAAATCCCACTCAGCAAGTGTGTGAGTAAGGAGGGAGGATGTCTTTGAAGGGAAGAGTACACCACTGCTCCTTATTCCATTAGCACTGGATCTGTCCAAGGTTAGCCAGGGAGCTTTCCAGCTCCAGTCTGCAAAACACATCCTGACATACCTGGCTACATTCCCACCAGCTCATTAAACTCCACCTATATTCCAAAGGAAAACTCCAGCAATCAGCAGTGGGAAACAGCCCCAAGAACTTCCCCTGGCCTGTCACGAGCTAAATGAAATGGCAAAACTGATCATCTCAAAAACATTTCAGCTTTTACAGGCCCCAGTGGACCTGGATGCAAAACTGAGAGCAACTTCCCAAACAGCCCACAGGGAAACTTTGGGAAGGTATCCCACCATATGTAAAGAGAGCTACAGCAGGAAAGGACCAGCCTGAGGAGGGGAGATCCAGGACTCCACCTCTGTAGGCAGTGTCCAGCCAGTTTTGCGTAAGCAAAACAATTAAAATTTTTAAATTGTACCTATTTGATAATTTATATTATAATGTATAATACATATACATACATGTATAATATAATGTATTATACAGATATTTCCATAAATATTATTATATATTAAATATACACATGGATCCAAAGCAGATCTAATACATATAAAATGTATCAAGAAATACTAACAAATATATGGATGAGTTTCAGTGCCTTGTTAAAGCAGAGTGAAACTGAAGTCAAAGGCAGAGCTGACAACCTTAGTGGGACTTTGGAGAAGAGCAATGGAAAGAAGGCTCACACTGCCATGGATATTTTATTTTCAGGAGGTGTGCAGGACTATCATTTCCAAGCTGACAAGGATCATGTTTCTTCCACGCTCTTGTGAAACACTCACTGCTAATTCCTGAGGCCACTAGGGAGCGTCCCCAGCCTCTGCATAGACAAACACCAGCAAACCCTCCAGCACTGTTTTGTTCTAATCAATCTCAAACCTCTCCCACCAAATGAAAGAAGTTTACTCTCCTACACCAAATAACTTGAGTGCTTCCTCCAGTTGCAGTAACTCCTCTGAGCAAAAGCCAGAGGCTGCAGCTACTGCTGCATTTTTGCTTGTTCACCATGACTTAGCAAATTACTCTGGAAGGTCCTGTCCTGTCACATGCTCTGTCCCTGTCCTGTGACCACAACAGATATGGCCATGGGCATTTTTCTGCCAGCTCCTTCAATGCCACCCTATATTCCTGTCCAATACCCACGCCCTGATCTTGTTCTCCCTTCCCAAGAACAATCCTTTCACTCACACAGCAAAGACTTGGGCAGATGCTTTCCTTATTTTAGTAGGGACTGACGTAGCACAGAAATCTGATTAAGTAACAGACAAAGATATAAAAAATTATGCAGCACAACAATCACTGGAACTGCTCCTGATACACCACCCCACTTTCTTTTCTCTGTATGTTCTCTGGAACAGAGGCTGAGCCATTCCTTAAACTGCTACAGGAAACGTTTTTGCAAGGGATGTCTAAAGAACTATATTTAACAGGAGTTTCTTGCATGCTGTGGGAATTAGAAGCCATTCCAACCAAAATACAAGGAATGTTTCAACACATCAGATCTATTGCTTGAGCACAGCCTGTAGAAGATAAGGGAAATTATTTTCCCTAATTTCTCTTCTCTTGTTTGAACTCCTGCTCTAAGATGGTAGGAGGAACAAAAAATTAAAACCAATTGCTCTTGTCTTAGTTAAGACAAGACAATGGCTAAGGCATAACACAGAATTATTAGGGAAGAAGGAGAAAGGCAGATGGAATACAGATCCAGAGAGGAAGCAGAACATTTAATCCAACTATTAGAAAGAGTAATTTTTTTCCTCAAAACCTGAAGCTAACACAGTATGTGAAGAAAAACACATTTGCATATTAATCTGGAAAATAACAGATGAAATAATTTAGTTAAGAAATGTAACAACTACTCACCTGTCTGCACATCTATCACCATCTGATGGCCACCTCTCATCCCTGGCCGACTGTCTTCCCCATCACCTTCAGAAAAAGAAGGAAGAGAGAATTTTCCATTTTAAGATTTTTAAACCAAAGGAAGACACAGACTCAACATGGAACCAAAGGAAGAGAGTAACTCACCCTTTCTTAAACACTAGCACATCACTTTTTGCAGGTAATATTTTTTGGGCATTATAAAACTGTACAAAGTTTTATATTGAACTAGCTGGTGACTGACAGTACAGAGGGCAGAAGTGAATACTGCAACTCTCAGTGCCTTGGAGAGGAGCTCCAACGTTCCTGACACACTTGGTGCACACAAAAGAGCTCTGAGCTGTCCTTGCAGCTCTCCAGAAGGGATGACACAGCCACCCTTTGGCTCCCCTTCCATCTCTCCACACCTGAGAGCTGCCTGAGGGCTGAGCTGTGAGAACAGATACTCAAAGGGCAGGGAAATGAACCCCTGGGATGGGAGCAGGAGGTGATGCACACCACAGAGCACAGCCAGCTTTGCACCAGCTATTGCCACATATAAGGGAATTCCAACTGTCCAATTAAAGCAGCTTTCCAACCACTTTATGTACCTCAAGCATTCAGGACAGATGACACAGATAACCCCTCCCAAGGGACTTGGGGACAGTGCTCCACACTTGGCAATTGTCACCTTGGATCCTGCATTTGCTCTGTGACAGCGATTTCTGTACTTTGCAGTTAAGGATGCTGCTACAATTCTCCTCTCAAGGCAGACAGGAATGGAAAAGATTCTGCAGTTTGGATTTACTGTGTAACAGATCAGGACTTCAAAAGATGCACCTCATTTAAAATACTCCCTGTTGAGATAATGTATTTATTTGCCAACTCCTCAGTTTAAACTGAACTTACATCAACTCCATGTGCTAAATCCAGTAACACAGATAGCTGTTCTCATGTTTAACCAATATTCTGGGATTTGTTACTAAACTGATGAGCTGTTCTTGAAGGTATAACTAGTATTCCTACAGTGCTCCTTACTCAACCAGAGAGCAGGCTGAATTTCACTGAATGTGCAGACAAATGCAACTTTTTCAGAGAAGAAACCATTCCCTAGAACTCTCCTAGAGGAGACTTTCTTGCATCATTCTCTTGCTCCATATTCTCAAAGGAACAAGACAGAACTGGCAGTACATGAGTTCTATCTTAAGAAATGTCCTTACCTTTGGTGCTTTTGGGGATAATCTGCCCCCAGCGAGGTTTGTACTCTTGCTGACTGATATACTGATTGAACAAGCCATCTGCAAAACAAAAATTTTGCTGGATGAAACATTTATCCTTCCATTTTAGCAAAATCACTATTAATGTGGGTAACTTCAGTCCAACTCAATCCAGTATGCCACTCCAAAGCCTCCATTTTCAGTGAGTTCTCCATTATGTGTCAGTTAGTTTGTTAAACTTTTGTTAGTTTGTTAAACTTTTGTTAGTTTGTTAATGAACTAAATGTGTGAGCACTAAAATAAAAAGAATACTTGCTACTAGATCAATCAGGAATTATCCAGTTTGCCTGCCAGGTCGTGCCAAGTGTCTATAAATCTCCAGTGTGGTGCATTTAATTAAGAATAGAATCCCTCCTCCTTATTTAAGCAAAAGGAAAGTTGCCAGTGCATATAAAATTCAACCATTTTAGCGCATGTTGAGTTAAAACTAGGTCAGACAGCATCTCTGGAGCTCCATCTGAGAAGGGAGGCAGAGCAGATTGTTTAAATGCTGTGATATGGGACAACCAAGTGCTGGATGAAAAACAAAACAAGAGTTTACATTCTCTTCAGAGAGTTAAGCAAGAAGAGCAACAGAGGAGGCGTCAGATGCTGGGCCAGATGTGCCAAGTGCAGCATTTCTGTGAGCAGCACTTTATCCACACTCCCCTTGTGCTCTCCACCTCTCAGCATCCAGAGGCCAGTTCCTAATCCTGTTCAGACGGTAGCAGTCCATCACACAGACACCAATTTTCTGTAAAGGAGAGCTGTAACACCCACACTCCCTGGGACTGCACGTGGGGAACTTGGTGCTTTTGTTCTTCAAATGTCTCCTCTGAAACACCTACCTTACCTTCTGTAACACAACAAACCATGAGAGCACCTGAGCACTGCTTGCCTGGCTACATCCCACCCATCACCCACCATCCCAACACACAAGCTCTTCCTGACAAATGTTTCTGCTCTATTCATGTATGAATGCACTACCTGGAAGAAAAACAATAAGAATTTAATAATGATGAACACCTCTGCTTATTTATACAAAAGCCCTTTGGAGGTATATAGGCAAAAAAGAATGATCCTTACTGAATGCATCCCTGTTTATTTAGGAAAAGGTAAAAAATCTTTGTTAAGCACGACACAAGGCTCAGAGAAAATTTTCAAGTGTTTCCTGGCATCCTGTACTTTGTCGTGACTGAAATCCAGGTTTTAATTAAAACCCGAGCCAGCAAGTATTTCCTGGGAGAAGATGAAAGCTCCATTTAGAGACCATCCAACAGGAAAACAAGGGCACTCAAGAGCTCCTGAAAAGTGATGAGTTTGGTCTGAAAATATAAAACTTCCATAAACTCAGCTGTGCAAGTTTTTCCAAATAAATACTCTGAAAACAGGGCAGGTTTTACTTTCACCTCAGCAGCAAAACCAGCAGCTCTCCCCCCCACATTAGGTAATCGAGGAAAGCCAGAAGTTTGCTCAATGTATGTAGAAGGAAAAGTGGTTTATTTTGGGTTTAATAGCAGGGTTCTTAACTCCCACTTCTTCAGCATTTATGAAGCTGGGACAACACACTAGAGGCTTGAAGCTTGAGATCTCATAAATTGTGATTCAGAAAAGCCAGGCCTAATAGAACAAATAAATGCATGTGCTGTAAGAAATCCCACAGTGACTCAGCCACAAACCCAGACAGAAATGCAGCTTTTTGGTTATCGTTACAGCCTTGGGTCTGCAAGACAGAAACCAAAACCGTATTTATCCCTATGGCAGCCAATAGATAATTGGACATAAATAGCTCAAAAGGATGAATTACACCACATAGGATCTGAAAGGGTGATTTAACCTCTCTCCCATGCTCTACACCCACAGGCTGCACTTGTCAAGATATGACACTTCTCCCCCACTGTGCCTTCGGCCTCTTTTAATAATGCTTCTCGTCTTCCATGGGACATTGGTTTGGAAATAGTCCAGCTTGCTTCCCAGAAATGTTTCCTTCTGCTGGAAGCAGTTCCACATTCACTCTACTTGCATTGCTAACCAGCAGCAGCTTGTTTTGGAAGCTGAATCACCACCTGTCTGACACCAGCAGGGAAAAAAAAGGAGGATTTCGAGGTGGATCCTGTACCCGACGCCAGACCTACGCCAGCGCACTCCTTATGTTCCCTGTCAGGAGAGCACTGCTGACCAAAAGGTCTCCAAAGCTCCTGAGAGGCTCTGAGCCTCACAGCTAGGCCTGCTCAGGTCTGTCAGCTGTTCCCTATGAAACAGGAGTTTAAAATAAATTTTAAGACTCTTGTCAAAAAAAAAAAAAAAAAAAAGAAAGCGCTGAGTGGAAGTTTTTAAATGAAGTGTTTTCTGTCGCTCCGGAGAGGTCTCACTTCAATGTCCATGTTTACTAAAATTACAGCCAAAAAAACAACTTTGTACTATTTTCAAGCCCTTTGCAGTAAGCCATGACGCATTTTGGATGTAACAACACGAAGTTCACCATGATTAAAGCTTGGTAAATTCTGCCTCCCTGATAAGCCAAGTCTTTATTTTGCCAGCCAATTGCAGGTTACCCAGAAAGGATTACGACAAACCTTGTGGACAAAAATATTTAACTTGCTGAAGCCAATCAGGAGCAAGTTGTATAAAGTTTGGGGGTTTTTAGACAACACACATCTCCAGGTAGGGTTGCTGAAATCTGTTCACTTCACTGCCAATGGCTCAAAAACCTACAGAATGACATTTAGCCCATAATTTCTGGGAGCTGGGGTTTCAGGTTTTAAGATTTTTCTCAAACCAAAGAAAAGTAGTCAAAATACCTAAACAGTTTGAGGCTTTTTGAGTCACAAACTACCTTCTTAAGAAAACTGTAGGAGAGAAAGGTTCTTCTACCAGATAAAAATCCAGCAATTACTTGACAATTTCCTCAAGACTTGGGAGAAACAAGGAAACACACAATTTTTTTTCCAGCCTCAGAGCTGTAATATTTTCTTGCACTTTGTTCTTCATAAAAATGAAACAAGGGTTGCTCTCAAATCTATGTAAGTTGTCTTTCTCCTACACAAACCCCTACCATTTACTTCCCAGAGGCTCTGGATCTCTAGCCAGCCTCTCCCCTCCATATATCCCAGTGTACAGAACAGCTTTCTCAGAACTAAATCCAAACAATATTAAATGGGAAAATTCAGGTATGCATGTCTGTCTAGAGTTTCCAGGGGAATCCAATTGTTCCTGTGAATCACGAGTTCTGGGAGACACTGGAGCCTGCAGGCTGCACATCACAACTTCTTGTTTGTCGCACAGGACTGACTTGTCACCAGATAAACACATGTCACATACTGACATGAGCAGTGCCAGAAGGAACACCTCAGTCCTGGAATACTAATGGCAAACAAGCAGTTCTTCCACCATTCCAAGCAGCTTTCCACGTCTACAGGAGCTGTGAGCAGTTCAACCAAGCAATTTGCACTCCACATACTCTCTGCAGGAATATTAAGCAGACTTTTTCCCTTCAATAATATAGGCCCGAAAGCTATAGGAATGGATCCAAATGTGAAGCATTTGAACCGAGTCTGTGAACCAGCTGAGATTTAGGGAACCTTTTCTTTTTGAGACGAAGTCAGGCAGCTGCCAGAGTTTCCATTTGCCCATTTTCGAAGTGTAACGCACAAGTCAAAAGAATCAGTGGGAAAAGTGTGGCTGCCTGCCACCGAGCTCTCAAAAGAAATCATCTGGTGATGTGAGGTGGAAGACAGCGTTCATCATTAGCAATGCAAAAGAACAAGAGTTAGCTCTGCCAGCACTAATTCTTGACCACCTACTCTTTTTCTACATGACTAAGCCTATGGAAATAGCCCGCCGGAGATGCAGAGCGTTGCACTTTGTCAATACCCACCACTGCAAATATCAGCCTCTCCAGAAGACATTTTAGGCTGAACTGAGTGTGCAGGATCTCTGTCAACCTCGCTGCACTTCTGTTTGTGCCTTTAAGGCAATGAACTCCCAGATCAGCAAGCGGTCAGGAGTTCACATATTCATGCCCAGTCTGCAGCAGAACAGTTGCTCTTTGAACGATTTCAGGGATAATTTAAGGATCTGTATGTCTCAATTAACTCTACACTTCAGCTACAGTACACAGACACAGGACTAAAGTTAATCCTCTTTTATTTGGAAAAACAACGCATCAGACAGGAGTTCAGTGGTAAGAACACCCACACCTTAGAGACTAAGCAGCAAGCTACTGAGACTTCACAACAGAGCTGCTAGGAAAGTAAAAGGATAAAAAATCATCACAGAATGGCCTGGGTTGGAAGAGACCTCAAAAATAATCTGGTTCTAACCCTCATGCCATGGAGACAGGGACACTTTTCAGCAGGCTGCTGAAAAGTAAAAAAATTGTTTGTTTCCTGGTTTCTCCCAAGTCTTGAGGAAATTGTCAAGTAATGGCTGGATTTTTATCTGGTAGAAGGCTGCTCAGAAAATGCTGGGGAGCTTGACAGATACAGAACAGAGTAAGGACAGGTAACTGTGGAAGATCACAAGGAGCAGGAATACTGCAGGAGAACATGCTGAAAGCTGAAAACCTCAATTCCCATCCTACCAAGAAGAATCCAGCTGTTAAGCACCATTAATATTCAGCACCCTGACTGCCACAACTTCAGACAAAATGTTCCAGTTGCAGTTTTGGGGGGGGGGTTGTGGCTATCAGAAGAGGTTTGCTCTGCCCTCTCCCCCACCCCAGCCTGATCAGCTCCCTGTCTGGGTTGGCCATGTGGCAGCACGAGCACCAGTGCCAGGGACACAGTGTCCCGAGCAAGGGCAGGATTGACCCAGTTAGTGAAAAGCCGCAGTGGTGTCAGCTTAAAGCAAATATGGGATGCAGCCTCGGTGTCTCGGGATAGATAGCACTTCTCTCCAAAGAGTGCTGGGAGGCCATAGAGCTTTAAATGGGTACATTTAAAGCTGAAGACAGCATAAAGAATGGCAGGAGCATGGGGGAAGGAAGGTTAATGTATTCCAAGACAAGCAAAATCATTAAGGATGACCAACAGAGCGATGGGAGATGCGCACACTGACATTTAGCTTTAGCTAGCCAGGTGCTGGATTAAAATGAAGCAAAATAAACATCCCCACGCATATTTTTCTGTTCCTTAGAAGCAGTGACAAAAGCTAATGATGCTCTTGAAGACTCTCCTGCTAAATTATCCACCGTCAGTTACTACCAAGACTTGCTGGAACTAAAAAAAGGCTGATAAAACAAGGTGCAGCATATTCCTTCAGCTCACCTAAGTGATGCCAGTGAGCTCCTCAGCCTCCAAAAAGGGATGTGATTACAAAAACCAGGGAAGGAGGATTATCCACATCAAATCTGACAAGAAACAAGTGTCTGTCAGGCAGAACAATACAAGACCTACAGTTTCCTACCAGGCCAGTCCTTTGCCAGTATTTCCACACCTGGAGAAGCAGAGCACTGCTGACAGCAGCCCCACTCTCAGCAAACATTAAGTAGTAAAAGAAATGAAAATATAAGAGCTCAAAAAATGAGGCTAAAACATTCACTTCATTAGCACCCAAGAAAAAAATTCCATTTTTGAGAGTACTTTTTCAGCACACTCTAAGACTTTGAGTGAAATTCCATTCAAGAAATCATTTCCACTCCAGCCTGCAATGAAGTGGAAAGAGGACAGCCTCCAGGCACTGAGATTAAGCCATGGCCAAGGCAGCAGAGCGAGGCAATGATAAAATCATCACCATCAGCACTCAGCACTCCTCTGGCTGCTGCTGCATCATGGTGGGCTCATCAGCTCCCTCCAGGCACTCGTGTCTTTAAGACACACACAGAAACAGCTCCCTGCTGCTTTTCCAGCCTGCAATCCTCCCTTGCCCTTATGATTCAGGAGGAAACTGCCAGTTGCAAAATGCCCCTGCATTGCAGGAAGCTGTTCACACTCTGCTGTCTCGGGAGGGTGAGGATGAACACGGCAATTCTCAGTCTCAACACTCGCAGCTGCTCATGGAGCTCAGCACAGGGCAGGTCTCCACTGCTCTGTCTGTAGAGAAACCTTGAGCCAAACCCATAGAAAACTACTTACTGCAGTTTTGGAAGACCTGTTGCAATAAGCTCCTTAAAACTGTGCTCAGTTGAACAGCTCAGTCACAAAAAGATGGTGGGTTTTCATGGAAGACGACCCTTGATTTCCAAGCTATCATTTCTATCACATTCTGAGAAGCACTTCCAGCTTCAGTGGTACAAACCACATTGATGGGAGTCAAGCAGGTACAATGGCATCTTTCCAAAGGTATTACAAAATGACTGATTAGCCCAGAATTAAAGAATAATATCTCTGGTGCCAGCTATCCATGAAATTGGTTCACTAAGTCCCTAACTCCACTGGCATCAGACACAAAGTTTTCCTCTTACACCAGTACAAGTCTCCCATAACAAATGACTGCACAGAGTTAAAAAGCTCTACACCCACAGCCAAGAGCACCTTTGTTTTATCAGACTGCAATCCAAAACCGCTGCACAGGTCCTGAGAGTCCCTTCAGTGCAACAGCCCCACTCTTTCTGTATCCCATTCGATCAGGAGAGAGTACATCTCCCTCCTTTTAGAAGCTGAGAGCTGTTTATACACTGTGTTTTTAAGTAGAAAGCTTTCAAGTAAAAGATTAATAGCAGTTCCAATGAAACTGACTGCCCTGCCAAGGTCTCACTCCGCAAAGGAAAACAAGCTCTGCCTCCAGTCACTTCCACAGAATTGTCCAAGGATTATCTTCCCCATAAGCAAAGAGAGCATCCTCATCCAGACACAGCTGAAAACTTCTGCCTGAACACCAACGCAGAGGTGAGCTCCAAGCAGAAACCATGATCCAGATCACCACTGAGAACTCCAGTCTTCTGCTGCCCTGCTCACCATTCCAGTGACTCCGCTGACAGTTTAAGCCCACCTTCAGCTTGCCAACACTTACATGAAGAACTTGTCTTTACCCACTCAAGTGCACCGCCTTGTCATCTCTGGGGGAAAGTGACTCCAAAAGTAGCAGCAATAAGAGATTTCATGAATTTTTATCCCTCATCACACACACACTCACAAGTCCAAAAGCTGACAGCACACCAGAAATGAAACAACACATGGACCTGCCAACTCTACTACTAAGAGCACACTAACATTCAAAAGAAGGTAAAATTTCAATGCACTTTTTTTTCAAACTAATGAATCACTTCCTCTGATTCTCTTACCATTCACAGCTTTTTCTATCAGTTCTTCACAAGCATCGAAGTCCCCCTTCAACACCAGTTTGTCGTGCAGGTCTGTCAGCATGGGGTGCTCCAGAGCAATCTTGGTTTTCTTCTGCAGCGACTCGAAAGCCTCGGTGTAGTTGTGCTGCCGAAAGTGCTTTAGGCAAAGGCGAATGGCTTCCTGTTCACGGTACTACTGGAACACAAGAAAACCTCTGAGACATGGAGATGTTTCCTCTGACCAGCACTGCTGGCAGCTACCCGTGACCCTGCCCAGAGACAGGATCTCTTATCCACGCTGCACAAAGGGCCCACGGAGGAAAGCTGTGTGAGAGACATTACAAGCTGTGCAGGCATTTACTTTCCAACAGTATAGAAATTATACAATTTGGTATCATCCAATTTAATAAGCATAAAAGAAACAGTGCATGGTGTCCCAGATCTCTGGGGTGACCATTATTTCCCCCCCATCTGCTTGGCCCTGCTGTTCGAGGCCTACACGAAGCACAGAGCAGGAAAAAGCCGTCGCTATCAGCGTTACATAATTTGATTGTATGACTCTTACATAACAAAATAATTTAGAAAAGTAAGTAGGTCACAGCTTTTCTAGAAGCAGAAGGAGAAAAAAAAAAGCTGTGAGAATGGGAATACTTGCAATGACCAGCACTCCTGCCACGGAAAGGCAGAAGGCTGACCCCAAATCCTGTGGGTTTGTGAGGGTTTGGAATCGCAGCACCGAGGATTTCTGTGCATGCCAAAGTTTTAACTTCTAAATATTCTCCTGCATCTTGAAGCAGAACCTCTGTTTTCACACCACGGATGGAGGCACAGCTGCCCATCTCCCACTCAGCTGTGGGAAGGGGTGAGAAAGGTGAAAGAAAACCCACGCTGGGTCAAACATCCTGGCACAGACACACGAGGGAGTAGTAAACTCTGAGTAAGAGCTACAATTTTCAAAGCTGCTAACAAGATGTATAAGAAACACTGATTTTTAGGTTGATAAGTAGCAGAAACACTTATTTTAAATAGACTTTTCAATCCTAAATTCTTAAGTATTAAAAAAAAAATCTCCATTTCCATCTTTAACACACAGCTACTATGGTAAACAGCAAATGTAACTTTAAGCATCTATAAGACTGATCAAATTACAGACAAAAGATTTTACTCCTAAATGGACACTACTGCTAAAAGTGAAGTTTATAGTATTCAAATGAACAGAATCTTTCTGAAAACCTGGAACTAACACTGACATTCAACAAAATTTAATGATCTCGAAAGAATGGCTCGATAGCAAGAATCTCATAAACTGAAGCAGCTAAAAAGAAACACGGCCATGTGCTGTATTTTTAGTTCTTAATCCATCAGTATTTCACAGCTGCAAATAGCCAGAACTATGCATTTTTAGAAAACCAGTTCCCAGCCCACATAAAGGCCAAGGACATGTACCGATAAGAATGCAAGGCTGCAGCAAAGAGTTATTAAAGCTAAAACAGTTTTACAGCACAACTGGCAAAAAACAACTCCTTTTTTTTCTTTCCAAGAGATGCCTGAGACACTCTCTAAGCAAATCTTCACTTGCATGAGTCAAGGCCAAAACCAAATTAGATTTTTTTTTTGTTCAAATGGATAGCAAGCAAAAGGAGAGCTGCACACCAGTAATTCTTCTGCATTTTTACATCCTCCAGTTTAGAAATCAGACAAAATGCAGACTTGAGACAGAGTCTCCTCTCCCTTTCACTGAGCCTCTCATGACTGACAGACCTGGCTTAGATAGCCAGGAATGACTTGGATGGAGTCTGGCCACTTGATGCAATATAAAAGTTTATATTCAAGTTTATATTCAAGTGACATCATAGTAGTACTTCAAAAGTTAAATGTAAAAAAGCTGCTTTAAGCAAAAAAATGTGTATAAAAAGTATGTAAAAGGCTCCTTTTTAAATGCTGTCATACAGGTTTAAAGAGATGACAACCCAAATAATAGCTTTGATCTGAAGCTGTAAATAATTCCTATGGTTAAAAACGTAACAAGAGCAGGAGACTAAGACATCAACACTGTCAAATACACTCAGAGAATTAAAAATACTTATGTGCTCATTATCAGAAGTGGTACCAGTGATAAAGTACCCCTTCTCAGGTGCTGAAGTATGTCCACTCCTCAGGAAAGAGGGGTGAGGCTGTTTGGAGGCAGTAGGCAGAGCTGGACAGCAAGGAGAAAGTGCTGAGGAATGTTTCAGTCCTTATCCATTATCCCCAGCTCCACTCCCCACAGGAGAGGGAGGTTTTGCTGGCACAAAACAAAAAGGAAGGGCAATGTGGTGTACAAGTTCTCTCATCTGATGTTGCAGGCAGTGAAGAATTATTGCACTTCAAAGACTCCGAGATTTCCAAAAACACACGTGAAAATATTCCCACATCTCCAAGAACTGGAAGAAACAGGTCAACCTTTCTGCCTTTCCCTAAATATGGGACAGCACATCCCTCTCCATGGATCCAGCAACAGTGGCCTCTCTTCTGCGAGACAGGAGAACATCAGTGGCACATGCACTCATCACCAACAACTTGGCAGTGGATCCCAGCAGAGCTCACACCACCATGACTCAGTCTCTGCACTGCTGCTCTGGGGCTCCAAGCTCCAGGAGAACAATGCTGGCAGCCCTTGAAGAAGCTGTCCCTACACACAATGCTGACCAGGAAAAGTGCCCATTCCATGGGAGAAGATGGAACAAAACAGATGCAGACATTGTCACTGCATGATTCCTGACCAAAAAAGCAAATCAAAATCAGAACTTCCTGCTTGCAGCAACTGGTCCAAACTGCCAGACACGCCACCACGTGCAGAGCCAGCAAAAGGAAATTCAGCAGCTTCTGTCAAGTGAACTTCCATCATCAGCTGACTCATGACCACAACACCACTTGGACCATAAAGCAGCTCCAGACAACTTCCACTGTGCTGGTTATTTAAATCCTCCACAAAGCAGCTCATGATGCTGGTGCAAATGGGCAGGAGCCAGACACCAGAGCACCCTGAACTAATCACACACAACCTCTATCCCCTTCTAAGTTCCTCCTTCTGGAAGCAGGACACACTGCTCCACTACTCAGTCCTACTCAGCTGGGAAGGGATGTCTTCTCTGCAACACAATATGAGTTTCATTAATTGTTCCAGAGAAACCAAAGCACAAAATGTACCAATAAAATGTGTTCTGCTTGTCAGTGTGCACTTCCCTCCCACAGGAGAGGCATCTCTAATACTCAATTAAATACAAGTTATAAAAATAAAGTTTGGGAACCCTTGAACTTTCTGTCTATCTAATGACAAATGACAAAAATCATCTCATCTCACAGTCCAGTGGCACCAGTCCCACTCTGTTCCAGGATATTCAGCAAAAAGACAGTAAGAGGGAAACATCTAAAGTACCAGACACCAACAAGGATTCTCTTTAAAAAATGTCATTTTTATACCCTGTAACAAAAGGTGCATCTGTAACCCAAAAGGTTCTGGACTCCATGGACTGGAGTTAGAAGAATCAGAAGGCAAGAAGAGGGCAAAAAAGAATCTGGTTTTAAGATTCATTTCACTTCCAATACAAATAGCAATACTTGACTAATATTGTCCCCTCTGGCTCAGTGTTCCCTTCTTGTGGTGTCTACCTGTGGGGTTTTTTGGGTGATGCCGGTGGTTTTGGGGTTTCTTGGGGCTGTTTCGTTGGTTTTTCAAAGAGAACAAACAGATAAAATTCAGAAAATTTCCCTTAGAGTCAAAGTCAGCCACATGGTTCCAACTCTGCATGTTTGCTGTTTTAATAGCTGATGTTCAAGGAATGAAAAGGTCACATCACTCCAGTGAGAGAAGTTTCACAAGATTCTGAGACTGGGAATCTTCAAACAAACAGGCATCTATAAAATGCAGGCCTACCTTGCTGTACCAGTTGAGGCACGGCTGGACCACATCTGGATCATCAATGCCATTTAGTTCAACATACCAGATACTAAAATTGAAGCTAGGTCCCCACGATAAGAGTGGAACTGGAGAAGAAAGGAAAAGGAGAAAAACTATGCATAAACATCAGTCACTATTGCAACAGAATGATTTTAAAGTTTACACAAAATTCAGTCTTTCTGACTTAAGTTCTAGCTCATTTAACTTAGCTTAGGAAAATTACCAAATACATCATGTTCAAGTTTGTCATTTAAAGCAACCTGTGCTGAGCAACATTAACACAACAGATCATTACAAAGCAGAAGCTTGCTTTAAGCAGAAGAGCAAAAACATTATCATTAAAAACAGCTCCAAGAGGCAACAAGCTTTGACAAGGATGGGAATCACGAGCATACTAGAGACAGTATTTGCTCCTCAAAGTACATTTATTTCCCCATTTGTCAGCAACAATTATTTTCCCTAATGGTGAAGACAAGAAGCTTGGGTAGTTGAAATTTTACAAAATTAGTAACATCTGCAAGTTGTGGAGGAGCAAGGGAGGGATAACTGTCAGTTTCTAACTTAAAAACTCTATTTTTTAAAAAAGCTTTATTTAATTTGTGCAGTTTTTTTGCTGGTACTATTTTATCTGAATATTGGAACAAATGGACTTGAAATACTAAAAGACCCATGAAATACACTACAGCCCCTCACCTATGGCTTCTCTACCACTCTGGGTTAGTATCTGTGGCCTTGCACTGATTTTGTGGTTAATCTGCAGGTTAAGACCTGGTTCTGCTTTTTGAAGCAACTCCAACCCCCAGAAAACTTGTGTGTGAACTCTGACTCATTAAAACTGCAGTGAAATGGAGTGGTTTCATTTCAAATACTTTTGTTTCCTTTTTATTTGACTCTAACTGATAAACAGGAAAAGACAGCATTGAAGTTGAATGAGCAGTTACCAGCAACAGCAAGGAGTCCACCACCTCCTCCCTTCCACTATTTCTGCCACTAAGAAATTGCCTGTTGAAACAGGCACCATGAAATACCACTGAGATTAACCTGCTGAACTCACGTTTTTCTGACCTACTCCTTGAGGAAATAAAAACCCCAAACTCATCATAAAGCTGTTCCTGAGCTCTTATAGGTTCTTAAGTATTTATACCTCAAAGAAGCTACATCTATGATTGTCTGCAATGTGTTTGGGCACAAGGCACATGTTCAAACACATGATTTTCTAAGTTTTAGAGAGTGTATTTACAAACCTATTGCTAAAGATGCACAGTAACTTCTGGGAACAATCAAGATCCAGAGAGACTTTGTATATGCAACTCTTAACTGATTTTAATATCCCTAAGAAGGTACTTTCTATTGTACAGCTCTCAAAACATCTTTTCAAACAGGTTTTTTTCAACTTGATTATTTAGCACACAGCGTGATGCTTTCAGAGCAGTTCCTTGTAGGTGCATGTTTGTGGAGAGAGAAGTGAGGTGGTCAGAAAAACCAAGAGTCACCTGTCTCCCATCCACACTGCACCCTCTCTGCCCAGGAAATTTCCCTCTTGCTGACTTTCATCCCCTGCACAGGCCGAGTGCTGCCAATAGGGCAACCTAACACATAAAACATGACTGCTGCTGAATTCAAGTTGGGTCCTGGATATCCTACCCATCACTGCAGCAGTCTGGCACAATACCACATCTAAGGGCAGCACCTTTGGTCTGTCCTCAGACCTGAACACTCAGAGCAGGCCAAACTGAGGTTAAATTTGGTATTTGGTCAGCTATAAACATCAAAGTCTATCCAACAGCTCACTGAACTGAAACACTCAACTAAACCACAGACCATCTCAAAATGGGCCAACACCCTCCATTTCCTGATGGTAAACCTGAGTGAGACCAACTTCCAAACTGAAATATTGTCACCTTCTCTATCCACCTCCATTTCTTTTCAGCCATTCTCCTCAAAACTTCTATGAGCTTCTCTCAGAAAACAAATTAACAATTCACTCTCCTGTCTTTGATGCTAACTACAACCCCTAAGAAGTTATTGGGATGTACACAAGAATCTGGGGCAGCTCCCACCACAAGAAAAAGCAAAGCCATCAACTTGCTGACATTTGTCCTCCCCAGTTAACTCAGAGCTTCCAACAGCCTTTTGTACAAAAAGGAAAAAACAAAACACCAGAAATGGTGATTTTTAACAACAAGATTTTCAGGGTGCAATCTTTTCTAAGGAAAGCACATTAAGATGTACAGGGAAGGGAAGGAAAACACTTCCCCAGAACTGCACAGGTAGAGGAAACTGAACCTGACTCCATAGGAGCAGAAAAAGAAACAAAGCTGAAGGTTGACAGTGAAATGTGATTTCTATTCCAGTTAGGAAAGCTGAAGTGTTCTGCTGGATCATCTCCCCATTTCTGAACTTCTCTCCTGACTCCCAGGAGACACCTCTCACCCTTCCTTCTGCCCTCTCTCTTTTGAGGCCTCCACAGGAGCTCTCAGATCTTCAGAAAAATCTCCTTTTAGAGCACCCACAATCTGACTTATACCTGGAAAGAGGAGGCACTAAGTGCAGCATGGAAGCACTTTTTCCTGCACACCTTTGAGATGGAAATGTGCTACAGTCAAAGATGCTGAAGGCCTAAAGGTATATAATTCCTCCACTTTTTATCAAAAAGCCACCTCACTTTGTTTGTTCCTGCAGGTACCACAGCAATCCATCCCAAAAGGTGTAACTGCTCAGAACAGTTCAATTGTCACTCCACAGTGAGAGGAGTTCAGCAAAGGAAAAAAAAATTTAAAAAAAATCAATATTCTTCTGAGAAACAGAAGGCATTTGAGTCACTTAAAAACTTCTTAATCCATACAAGGATGATTTTAGGGGATACTTCTGAATAATAGCTATGCCTAGACAAGGACTGCAACTCTATTGTACAGAAACTAATAGCAAAGGCATTAAACACAGTAATTTTAAATATCTCTCTCAAGCTAATTTCTGTGTCCCTCATCTACAGGCAGACATACAAACAGGTACACTTGCAAAATTAAGAAAATATCCATTAAAAAGTATCCCTCTTTTTTGTTCCAGCAAAGCCTAAAAATCTTTAAGCTAAGTTACCAAATCCCATGCAATGAGAATTACACCTGCCATTTTTCAAGTTCTTTCATGGCAATCAGTCTTTACACCTTCTGCTTTCAAGGACACAGCACAGAGAAATCTCTGCTTGGAGGAATCACGAGAACAGAGCCAGAAACAAAGCTCACAGACATGAAAAAGATAATTCTTCGATATTTTGTCCAGATAAAGACTTTCTTCTCTCTCTCTCCAGCTCTTTAATGAGGTACTACATGAAATGTAAAAATTACCTGTCAAGTAAGTCAAAAAGCCTGCACAAGTGGGCATTTCAGTACTCAGGAACTGCAGCTGAAGTAATTAAACTAACACAAGTGCAAGGCTTTCCCTGACCAAAGGAGAGAGGTTATTCTTTCTGTGTTTTATGAGCCTGGAAACTCCTCTGCTATGTGAGCAATGGGGGCTGGAGCAGGAACTTCCCCCTCTCCCAGATCTGCCCGTGGTTTCTCCTGCCCCGTGCCCCCATACAAACCCCACTGCTGTGCTCTTGTAGGTCCGTGTGCTGCTCTGTGGAATCATAAAGCCCATTCCTGATGCAAGTGCTGTGAACCCCCAAACCTCACTGATAGCTGGATTTCACCCTGTCAGTCCCTGAGAGTCCAAAAGGGCAGATTTTGGCCTTGTTTCCTGGCACTGGTACAAGGAACACAGCACGGTGCTTGAAATTTTGAGTTACTTTGGCTAGCAGCTTGGAAATTTTAACAAACTCAAAACATTTTCAAGCTGTGAATCTGAAAAATAACAGAATTTCGTAACAGTGTTTTGCTGTTGTTTCAAAGCAACAAATGCTCTCACAACTTCATCAACAAAATGACACCAGCCATCAACCAGAGGCTTTCATAGGTTTAGGTGAAAAGACCATTTCCAGGTCTGTCTTAGCACAGGAATTTCTTCATGAAAGACAGCTTCAGGAAATGAAAGGCTACAGATAAAGGAAAACTCATCTCAAACTATAACCAGTGAGGAAGTGGCAGCTCAATGCAAACCTAATATTAATGGAGATAATAATGTTTATTCATGGAATGGTTTGGGTTGCAAGGCAACTGAAAGAGCATCCAACTTCATCCCCCTGACACCTTTCACTATCCCAGGCTGCTCCAAGCTCTGTCCAACCTGGTCTGGGACACTTGCAGGGATCCAGGGGCAGCCACAGTTGCTCAGGGCACCCTGTGCCAGGGCCTCACCACGCTCACAATCAGGAATTTCCTGCTAATATCTAATCTAAATCTACCCTCCTTCAGATAAGGCCATTTCCTCTTGTCCTATCAGTACATGCCCTTGAGAAAAGTGCTACATGAAGATCCCATCCCAATAAAACAAGGTACTGATGTAATTGCAGAGGAAAACATCCTGGTAATGGGAATTAATCAGCATTTCACTTTCATAACAAGTTTCAACTCATGGCTACACTTCATTTCATCAGAACACACTTTCCTAGAATACAATTTACACATCCAAAGAAGCAGCCAAAAATCTTTCCACTGGGCCCTTCAGCCCTCCAGGAACTACTTGCTAGTTTTCAGCCACTGAAAAATAACATTTTCCAAAAACTTAATGTTGGAAGCTTCAGAATAAAAAAATAAAAATCTTTTAAAAATTCATTTAACTTTCCTGATGTAGTCAACCTTTAACTTGATTCCTCTGCTACTCTTGAGGTTTCCTAAAGCCAAGCACTACAGTTGCTTCCAAAAGCAGCAGCCAGAAACCAGCCCAGTGAAGAACCAAATCCTCTGCTTCTCTAAGAACAGGAAACCCCACAAATGATTACTGGATTCCCAGCCTGAAGCTTTCAGCTCCTGACAAACATGAGGAGATTCAGAAAGAACACACTGGAGCAAAGGGCTCAGAGGGGAGCCCCTACACAGCCACTATCATCAGAGTCCTGGCAAAGGAATTACCCAACACATCAAAACACTCCTAAATTCATCTAAATTAGCCAACAGGATCTTATCTCATTTTTCAGCAACTACCTCCTTGCTCTATTTTTAACCTTAAACAGCCAGTTTAAACCCAGTCATTCTTGTACTATCTCAGTAGGTAGGAAGGGAAAGATAAATTTACTGAGCAAGCCGAAAAGCTCCAAATGCTTGGATTAAATCCAATAGCTCTAAGGCTCTTGCTCTCTCAGGCCTGCAGACAGCAAGGAAGAGATATCCTGACCTGCTCCTATCACAAATCCAGTACCTGGCCTTGGGGAGCACCCCTCAACCCCAGCCAAGCCAGAAATCAGGGGTACAACCCTCCCCTACCCCCGGGTGTCACCCTTGGCCAGGGGTGAGTGAGACATTGTGACAGGAGCAGCAGGGAGAGAACAAGGGAGGCTTCTGCTGTTGCTTTATGTGTTACAACTGTGTTTGAGAACAAAACTTTTCAAGAATAGAGGGCTGTCAATATAGAAACTTTTACTGGTATTTAGCTTAGTTATTTCTTTAGAGCTCTATACAGCAATTCATAGGAGGACAGTAAGCAGCTTCTCCCACAATTAGTTGACTCAACAGCTGGATTTCTGAAAATTGCTCTATTTTGCTTTCACTCCCCAGGATCTAAATTATGAAGCTACTATTTCTTATTAACAGGACTTCACTGTGTTCCAATCTAACCAGCCTAAAAGATGATGAAATGGAACAGCTATTGTGGATACTGTGCCTGAGTACAATGAAGTCACAAGTGCCAAGACAGGCACAAGTATCAGAAGAGATTATTTTCTACTCAGAATGCTGAAAAAATGCATTTACCTATCTTAATGAATCGACAGGGGAACATCTGTTCATCAATTTTATGCTTCAAGGTGAATGTTTCTTTGTTATAATCATTCTTTAAGCCACTGTGGGAAAAAATAGATAAGGTTACTAAATCTTACCTTGTATTTAAGGACTAGCTAATAAATGCAATCTAGGTCACACCTTGTTTCACACCACCCTGAACCATCAGTACACGTGCTGGACCCAGCCTGGGCTGCTCTCCACCTACCTGTGCCTCCCTGGGAGGCAGCACTGCCATTTTGGGAGGGAACTGGCTTTGGATCAGTGCTGCTCCTCTGCACCTGGAACCCTGAGACTTCAGCTCCTGATGTGCTGAACTGCACTCTTCCATTCTCAAGAGGGAGATGCATCAGGTGTCAAAATGATCACCCTGACAAAGTGCTTTGTGATTCATTTATGGGCATTGCTTTCTAAAAATATCAAATACTTAGTATAATTTATAAAAAAACTTAAGTCCATATTTATTGAAAATACAAGTACAGGTCCCAAAATGAGGATTTTCATTAAACCTCAGCAGAAGTGGAACAATATTAAATGCCAATAATTACTATGGCTCTAAAAGACTTTTCCCCCCACAACTGTAACAGCAATAAATTCAAATTTCAAGACAGATCTATATAAAGAGGGTAAAAGTGTGGGAAGGGTTGTAGATAGATTCTATATATGAATGATACCTGCAACACAGAATTTCCCATGTTTGTCCATGGCTACTCTGCTTGACTACAGATGATGTACCCCAGAGATGGATTTCTTGTCTATAGACCCCCCAAAATACACCTGTTCTTGCCACTCTTTTCTCTTGTACTCCTGGATTTTAACTCTCATTTCCCTTTCTGAAACAGCACACTCCTTAAAAGGCCCTTGCAAATTTACATTTGGAACTACTCAGAAGTTCTGGATAACCTGAACAGCCCCGAGGCTCTTTTTTTACTACCTATCAGTACAACTCTATGAAATCCAACTAAACAAAGGAAAATGCAGGTTTCCCCTTGCCTGTTTGATTTATTTACCCATGTGACAAAGGCAGATCAGCTGACTAGTTCAGATCTTTATGGCTGCAACCAGGGTTTTGACAAGAGGATTGGGCTTTTAAAAGTTACTTCAGTTACCTGGGGGAACATTTTTACTATGCCTGAAGCACATGGAAGGAAGGAACTGCAATCCAGCAACGCTGCACTCAGCTCTTCCAAATCCCCAAGAGCTTGGTCTCCACAAACTCTGTGGTTAGAGCAGGGTAAGGAAGGCTCCTGGAGCAAGGGTTGGGATTGCTGACTCTCTGAGCTGACCACAAACATGGCAGGGTCACAGCCACAGCTCTGCCCCTCTGCTGGCCAAGTGTCTGCTGGGGAACCAAGGGGGATTTGGTCCAGCCTTTCTGATTCCCAGAGCTGATGGAATCACATCTTACCTGGATAAGAGATCTGTCATATTCTCCTCGTTCATCCCACCAAAGACTTTAAACTTCTTTAAATTGCAGACATGTGTTTTCTCATATTTGCCAAATGTGATGCTCTGGACTATGGCAGGTCTTTCAAGCTTCAAAATCAAATACTGTGGAAGAGAAAACAGTGAGTTTGAATATTAAAGCCAAGGCTACAAAACAAGCTAAGGGAGAAGCTTTATGGCCTCCAAATACTCAGTTTACAAAGCCAGAGAATAAAAGTAAAGATGAAACCTCCCCATTATGGGATTTTTTTCATTGGTCCTGGAATGAAGGAAAGGTTTTTAAAAACACTATTTTTAAATCAGTTTACCTAGGAAAAAGATTTGGTTGAATTACTTATGCCAAGCAATTCTATTCAGAGCTTACATACATTCCTTTGAGTTGGACTCAAGACTTCCTGAAATCTGGCAAATGGGATCCAACTCCAGAGAGTGAAGATTCAAACGCCCACTACAGCCTGAAATGAAACCTAAACTGAATACACAATTAGATAAATACAGTATGTTCCACATGCTAAGAGAACATCAAATTACTTTTCCTCCCTGGGCTGATGCTGTTTAACCACTAACACAAAGTTTGGTGTGTGGCAAACAGCAGAACCAACTGCTTATTAACCATCCCAAATAAAACTCAGCCACTTAATTACAGAAAAGGAGCTTTACATGGGAAATGATGAAAATGTTCTCTCCCTTGTGAACATTTGCTCCCCTCTCACACTGGGTAGACACAATTTGTGTATGAGTAGTCAGATTATTTTCACTCAGGCCACAGCTACCAGCTTCACCAGCACTGCTGGAGGAAGAGATCTGTTCCCATGGAAAAGCAGGGGAAGCACTTACACCACTCATCAGGGACCACCAAACAGCTCTTGGATGGAATCTGGAGACACCTTGGGTTTTTTTCACCTTGCAGAACACATCAAGTTTTATATCGGAAAATAATGTGTTTCACTCTCTTCCCTGATTTCTCAGAAATAAGCAGTGCACCAGAGAGGCAAAGCACAGAATGACAATTACTCATCCTGCTGCATTTTGTTACAAAGCCCTGTCATCAGGGCTCCAGCACAAGCAGATCAGCACTTTGTAGGACACCTCCCACCACAGGCTCTGCTGGTGGCCCTGTCCTCCAAGCAGCAGCACTGCCAAGCCAGGCATGATGCCTGAGTTTTGGTCTTTCATCAGCATCAAGTACAGATATCTGCATCTGTGTGGCTGCTTTCTGGAGATCCTGAGCAGCACCTCCTATGCTAAACATCTCAGGAAAGTATCTACTCTCCTAGACAAGTCCATCAGTAGGGAAATCTCACCCTAGAAAGATAAACTTGCTCATCCATTTAGTTCTCAGTATTTTTTTTTTTTCTCTCAGCCCTATAAAGCAAATAATTCTCAATCTAGTAGCAGCACTGATGTTGTTCTGGAGAGCACCACGATAAAAGTTTCACCTCAATGGCTGGTTCCTACTATTCTTACAAAAAGCTTAGATTCAGAGAAATACTTGTACACAGAGCAGTTACAGATCAGGGTGCAGACTGGACAGGTACAAACAGCACATTTACTGTCAAAGATGCTTCAAGTATCTCAAATTTTTTCAGAATTAGGAAAATAAACCAGAAGCAGCACTGTGGGGGTACAACAGAATGCTTTAGTGCTTTTCCAAATACTTTTAATGACAAATTTCTACTTTTGTGAAGAACACCATCCACCTAAATGTCAGAATCCACCATTTATGCAGCAGCAAGCCACGCTGTTGTCTCAAAGTACTTCCCAAACTTCAGGAGGAAAAACCCACAAAAATTCTATAGAGAAAACTGATTTTCTAAAGAGAAAAAAGGGAAGAATAAGCAAAAGGATGGTCCTTTAATGAGCAAGGCAGCACTTGATACATGGCACAGCCCGCTGCCAAAATTCCCATACAGAACAGACAGTACACAATGTCTAAGAACTCCTCCTACACCATCATATCTTCACTGCACATTTCTCCCAAAGCTGGAAAAGTGAAGCCAGCACTACCAGCAATTGCAATTCTTAATCCTGCTGGAATCCCAAACCTAATGCCTGGGCCATGAACACACACTTTCTCAAGTACCACGCAAGATTTGCAAAAACTTGGCACAAACGTCATCCTGCATTATTCAATTCCTACCCTAAATTAAGGGAGAGAAAACCAGGACTGCAGTTAAATCCTTTATGCCTGGAAGGGAGCAAGGCACAGCAATTACTCCACATGGGCAGCAGTGATTTCTTAACTCTACAGACAGGAGAGAGAACTCTGCCCCCCTCCTTCCCACTTCCACACATCCCACCACCTGCTGAGTCATGCAGACCTTACAGAAAACAGAAGCACAAAAGCTAAACTCAACCTTGTTTTGTGAATTATCTGCTGATTGATATGGAAACAAGAGATTTGCTATAAATTCCTGTGCCTAAGTATGTGTTTTTCTGGTTTATAATGGATATACACACGTGTCAAACTGAAAGACTTTCAAACTAGAAAATACATTAGGAATAAATTAGGAATATTATTAGGATAATAAAAGATACATTAGGAATACATTAGGAATCAATTGTTTACTGTGAGGGTGGTGAGACCCTGTGCATTCCCCACCCCTGGAAGTGTCCAAGGCCAGGTTGGACAGGACTTGGAGCAACCTGGTCTAGTGGAAAGTGTCCCTGCCCATGGCTTGGAATGAGATGTTTAAGGACCCTTCTAACACAAACTATTCTGTAATTCAATGATACATGTAAAAATAGAGATGTACTTTTTGGGATTCTGTACACACACCACTGGCACTGTGTGGGTACCAGCTATGAACCTCAGTAATGTTGAAAAAACACACTGCCTCAAGAGCTGCTAGCAGCTGGCTGCAGGAATATTTTTGGACTGCTACCAGGATTTTAGCTGTGACAGACTATTCTCTGTAGCTCTAAAAGATGTGACAGAAGTGTCTGTAGGATCAAGTGATTTATTCAACCTGGAGAGAGAACAAGTCTATGAGATTTCAGGCAAATACATCAAGATATTTGACACTTTTCCATTTTATTGCTGTGAGTAACATCAGTACATTTAATGTCCATGTATTCATGCAGTATTCCAAAAATCCAAATTATAACTGAAGTGTTTGTCCATTACAACATGGCACACAGAAACTCATTGGCATGACTGAGCAAAAACCTCAGCCCAGTTGTTAGGCCTCAGATCACAACACTAACAAAAAAGATGCTACAAAACACCAGAAGAGGAAAACTTCTGGTTTCTGAACCAACACATTTGTAAATATGCACAAAATGCAGAGTAAGTCACATATGGCACTTCAGCACCCAACAGCTGCTTACAGTGCATCCCCCAACAAAAAGCAAGTCCAGCCTTGTCACACTGGGAGCTGCAGCAAATTCCAAACTTTTCTGAAGCTCTGGTCTGTGCTACCATTTAATGACAACCATATGCAGGCTGCTGCATCAAACAACAGAGTGTAAATTTTATTAATGTACTCTAAATTAATTCCTGATACAACCTACACAGCAGCATGGAAATCAGAGGATAACTGCTCTTCAGATACAAAACTGAAACCAATTGTTTGGACAATGCCACTAACATATGATCTTCAACTGTTCAAAATTCACAATTCCACAAGACTGGAATTGGCTGCCCAGGGAGCAGGTGACAGTCACCATCCCTGGAGGTGTCTAAGAAACAAGTGGATGTGGCATTTAACTGGACCCTGGCACTGGGAAGGTGGTGATTGGTAAAGGGTTGTGCTCTGATCTCAGAGGTCTATTCCAACCTAATTGATTCTGTGATCAAATATGCAGAACTAGATTCCAAACTGCACTACACAAGCTGCCTGTGCAATTAGAGTCACACAATCTTTTACCAATTTCTTTTTCTTTAACCAGTTCTGCTCAAGCATATTTTTTGATTAGGCAACAGTGAAACTTGCATTGCATGTAAAAATAAAACCCACAAAATAACAAAATAACAAGGGCTGCCCTTGTCCACAACACAAAAATCTCCATTGCTCTTGCAATTAAGTTAGTGGCTAAATGAAAATCTATGCTCTTGTTCTACATGTTATTAATCAAACCACTCAGGGGAATTAAGTGCTCTGCACAGTCTTCCACATCAGACCATCACTGGAATCATCAGAATGAGCCTTTCTGACAGGGCCATGGTCTCCAGCATCACCAGCCTCATTGCTTCACACATCCAATGTAAGCCGAGAACAGAATTAAAAATAGACCCATCAGCCCTCTCCTGCCTGAATAGGTTACTACACAACAGGTTTGTTATTAAATATACAATTTCTGGGTCATCTATTTCAAGACTCAAGCAAGATATCTAGTGTAATAAACAGAAAAACAGCTGTCAGATGTGTTTCCTTTCACTGGCACTCATTCATAACCAACTGATGGCTTTCATGGCCATGAGAATTATTTAACTCTACCATACCCACAAAGCCAGGAAAACCCTTTACTAAATATAGTCACGTGGCAGCATTTCAAGTGCCTGCACTTCCACTTTCATTTTCTTTCTGCTTTTAAAAAGGTTTGGTATGGACTTTAGCACATTTACTGCATTTTCATTGAGCTTGTGAACACATCTTGATGTTTTTGCCTATGTTCTTCTGATTTGTGCTCTGAAAGAAAAGCTGCCTGGAAAAGTTTTGTTTCAGTCAATGAGGGAAGGGAATAAACCAATGTTTAGGGACTCATGTTACCGGGCTTGCAAGGGTTCCTCAGGGGTGAAGAGATAGACGAGAATCTTGACTCCATGATCAGAAGGCTGGATTTATTATTTTATGCTGTAAGTTACATTAGGACTATGCTAATAGGAATAGAGAGAAAAGTTCAGAAGCTGCTAAGCTAAGAATAGAAAAGGAATGAATCAACAAAGGAGCTCTCCCCGATTCTGTCCCAGAGAGAGCTTGTCTCTGATTGGCCCTTAATTGTAAACATGCAACAATCACAGGTGCACCTGTTGCATTGCACAGCAGCAGATAAGCATTGTTTACATTCTCTTTCTGGGGCCTCAGCTTCCCAGAAGAGGGAAAAATCCTAAAGAAAGGGATTTTTCACAAAAGATGTCTGTAACAGACTCACTCATATTTTTACCCTTAAGCCAGCACAGCATCATCACCACAGCAGGGAATTGCTAAACTCTGGCATTAAGGTGAGGCACTGAGGAGACAAACACGAGCGATCAGGGCTGCAGAGCTTATTAAAATATCTCACATTGAGCATGCTGGACATCATCCTTGTGTTGTGCCTGAGCCCTGGTTTCAGCTAATAAAGCTGGGAACAAGGAGAGCTTTATTTCCCTGAGTTTTAGTTCTCTTCCTGTCCAGACCATTATGGCCACCCACACACTTGAGCAAGTGCGTCACCGCACGAGTGACCAGTTTGTAAATGGAGAGCTGCCAACACAACACCTAGAAAATGCCTTCAGGCTTCATTTTCTATCAGTTCCATGATGTTTATTCCAGAGATTAAAAGTCATGTGTATAAATCAACATTTTTTTGGAATATGAACTATTCAGCTTGATTTTCCCCCAAATTCTCTCCTCACCACATTTATAATTCACTCATCCACTGTTTCAACTGAAGTTTTCCAAGCTAAAATTTTGCTGTAACAACTTAAGCCACTGGAAAAAAAACAAGAAAGCAGAACACCTATACAAATGTTTTTCCTACATTTAATTTGGCAGTCTTTCAATGGACAAGGTGCAAGAACTATTTCAATCAAAATGCAACCAAATCTGGAGTTCTTTCATCTGTCAAATATGAGACAACACAAATGGGAACTGCTTCTGTACACACAGAAATAACAAAAAATGCACTCTTTGCACACAGGACTCTTCTGCAGATTTCAATTCCCTATTTCCTCTTTCCAGCTGATTTTTCTACAGAAAATTAAACCATAAAAAATGCTTTACATGAATGATTAAACACTCAGATTAGAAACATGAGAATTAGCTGCAGTATATAGTACTTTATATAGCATAAAGGCACTGCAAACACATCCTCTCTCTTACTCAGTGCTTAGGATTGGGCTTGCTGAACACATGAGCAACTACACAGTAATTTATATTCTCATTATTAGATACAAAAATTCAGGCAAGAGGATACAGCAACATGGTCCTTTCCAGCCAGGCAGCCAGGTTTTCTGTTAGTTTTGTCTTTAAGTAAGAGAATAAAACTCAAATACTGTCTGCCAATTTCAGTTGACACATGAGGATTTTTTTTGCAAGCCAGGCCTTAATTCTGGATACCCAATATATGTCTTGGTATGTGACACACAGGTAGGCAATGCCAGGGTTAATTCATCTCTCTCCCACCAAGAAGTTTGGGTTAAATGCCTTGCTTAGCATGCAGAGCAGTGCCCAACTCTCCAGGGCTGGATTCAAGTCATTCTGCAGTATCTCCATTCAGGTCACAACTTGTACACATGAAATTTTTGGAAGACATCTCTTTAACAAGCTCGTGTGGTTTGTACAGAAGTCTGCCACTCTAATTAATCCCTGCTTAATCTACATGTCTGAGTACAACCTGCATCACTCCTTGTCAGCCTAAGTATAAATTGGGAATATTCTAAAGCATCCACTTACAGGAGGTGTGTTTCCATTCCAGAATCAGATTTTTGAAAGGGCTGAATGTTCATGATGGCTCAGAAAATTAAAGAGTGAATTTAAGCAACAATTAAGAGCATTTCAGATGAAAAACCCAATCCAAAGACAAATCATGAGCCAACCCTGTCTTGGGAACAAAAGCACCCCAAAAACACATGTGCTTCCTGCATAAAAGAAAGTAAAAGGATGGCACAGGCTGGGACACAATCCATGCTCAATACTCATTACTCTGCAATCCATAGTTCCTAGATAGACTAAACTGCCTCAGGCTATGGATTAAAATTCTGCATTCTTTATCAAAATATAAATAAATAAAATAATCAAATTCAAAGAGCAGTAGATGCACAGAGGCATCAAGAGGATCAATATCAGTCTTCACAATCAGGTTTAAGGAATACAAAGGATACCTTTCCTTCTCCTCTAAAAAACCCCAAAACCTAATTTTACAGGCACAATGACAGAGGAGGATTGATCAGAAAATCCAGGCGAAAGCTCTTCAGTGGCAGCCTCTGGATCTTCAACACAATTCCAAGACAAAGCAGGAAGATTTACCTGTGAGACTTCACTCAAGAGGAATACTTGGATTAAATAAGTAGATAAGCAGAACTTTGCATGACAGGGACACTGTGCAAGTCACTTTGCTGTGTATCAGTGCTTTAAGCAAAGAATTGAAAACAAGCAGCATAAGAGACACAGAAGCTGATCAAACATGCCAGAGTAATAAGGTACAGATCTAACACAGAGAGAAGGAGAATATTCACTGGGAAAAAAAAAAAAGTGGAAAAGACTATTCTGGATAATCTAACAACCTTAATAATAGAGAGAAAGCAAATTAAATGCTAAAATCAATACAAATCTTATTTTAATAAGATGCTTAACCAGCAGAAGAGGTGACATTTGTGTCTCTAAGCAGAGGCCACACTTCTGAACGTGCTATAAGGAGAAACAAACAGCAGCTCCTTAGATGTGGGACTCAAGGCCAAGAACCTCCAGCAGCCTCCAGTAGTGCTGACAAAGGGGGACCTGCACGCCTCATTAGCAGCTTCATCTCACCAGAAGGTTTGATTATTTCCAGCATGACCACGACTGCCAAGGAGGAAATCTGAAACTTCCCCCGCAATGAAGCGCTTCTAGAAGGATCACAAATTGCCAGAAATGTAAATATCTCATGTACCAACAACCTGCATTTTACTCAGGGAAGGAAGCCTATAAATATGTCCATGTCAATAGCAGCAGCCCACATTTAAAATAAAACCCAGCACTCATTACATAGAGCAGCAGAGATTCAGGAGCTTACCTGGGGAGGATAATTGCTTTCTGAAGACCATCTTGAGGACTGATCATTTGGTCTATCCACCAAGATATTCCTAAGAAACGAGAAGCCAAAAGTAATGTAAGTAACAGCTGCATATTTTACATCTCCAATAAATGTGCTGTACATTCAGATCAGTAACATTCTCATGCAACTACTAAATCATTAGGTACAGACTCAGGTTCTCCCCCTTTTTTATTAAAGATTTTCTAAATTGCTATTTTACAGGACCCATCAAAACACGCCTTCGAGCTTTGTGGTTGTGAAACAGAGCTGCAAGTTGCGAAATAAAAAAAAATTCAAATTGTGACATAAATGTAAAACAGATGAATTTACATAGGCCTAAGTCTGTAATGAAGTGGAAAAAAATGGGCTTATACAACTCAGTAGGGTAAGAACTTTTCAATAAGGTAAAATGAGCAGTTGGAGGGTTAGTAAGGAAGGGAGACAAAGGGCTGCTAACCCACTTAAGTTTTCCTGGAGCACAGAAAGATGACCAGCAGAGCCATGCCAAATTTTAACAAGTATTTTTCACGAGCTATAAGCCCTGAACAACACACAAAAAAGTACAAGTTCAAGTCTTCAACTAGCAAAACTGAGTTGCTTTCTTCACTTTGAAACAGTACAATACTTAGGTAATTATTAAATTCAAAATAGCTATTTTCTGGCTAAAATGAAACAGATTCATTATGACAGTTACATGACACATCTGCTTTCTCTTCTATAACCACGCAGTAAAGCTCACACCCCAGATTAAACTAAAAAAAAGCCCTATAAATCCCTAAAATATATATAATTATTGGCAAGGTGACAATGCACCACCTGCTGGACAGGGCTTGTGAGCTTCACCACTTCCAACTAACGAACTCAGCTCATAAAACTTCTGTAAAAAGAAGGAAACAGTCATCAAAAGGCTTCTGCCATCTCCATCTGCTGTGTAGGAGGAAAAGAACACGAGCATCTGGATTACTACAAAGGGCTGGAGGAAAAAGCACTCCAATGAAAGCTCCAAAGGGAAAGAGGTGAAGTCAGAGGTTGAGCATTACAGACAGAAATCAGCTGGCTCTCTGCACACCGGGCAGCCCCAAGTCACCGCAGCAGCCGCGGTATCCAGGCAGGCCCATGGTGGGACAAGGGACACGGCCAGGAGCCACTCCAGGGTGGCCTCCTCAATCTGAGCACTTCTGAGAGCTGGCCAAGTGCCTGTGTCTATCCATAGGCTTGGAAACACCTCCGGATTTTCACACAGTGCAGGAATAAAACTGAAGCTCCCCCTCCCTTCAGCTGATTCCCCTCACAGCACAGCATTTATTAACACAGCGATGCCAGCACCGAGCCAGGTCTGTGGCTGCTTTATTCACCCATCCCCACTGGGGAAATGCAATGGAACAGCACTGCCCTCTGCTCCAACCCCATCCAACACAAAAATCATGGCTCTACATCATTCAACATCTGTGGGATCTCAGCACAGCAGTCCTGATGTGCAGAGTCACCGAGACAACCCTTGGGGGGCTCCGAGGTCCTGGAACGTTGCCAGAAGTGTCTGGTGGTTGGACTTTGATCCTGCAAGGGAGACGACACCTGTATGAGGATGGGAGGATCACATGGGGATAAATGGTGAAGAGATAGATTAATTATAGTGTGAAACACAGGTTTTAGAATCTCGGTACAGGGGGGTTCTAGGGAGACAAGATGGAGGAATTAGGGCGCGTCCTGTCCTCCTTCTTCTTCTTGTCGTCCATCTTCTGTGGTGGTGGTGGCACTTTGGGATTGGTTCTTACTGAATGTGCACTTGTCAATAAGGGTGAAAGGTATTGGGGAGAATAGATAAATATCTTACACGTAGTTTTGGGTATTAAGATAAGTGACCGCCCCGAGGGCTCTCGGTGTGCTCATGGCTGACGTGCTGTGCGGACCTCTGTCGGGCCGAGAGAAAATATTGTAGATAAGAATTAATAAACACTGAAGACCGAAAAACCTGAAGACTCCTTTCATCCTTTGGAGCGCGGGCTGCCCCAAGGCCATCCCGAGCCTTTCCAGGCCATCAAAACAGCCGAGAACGGGACAAACATCCAGCTAACAACATCATCTGCACTGCAAAGAGGCTCAATTACAAGAGAAAACCTGGCCCTGCCTTTAATAACAACTGGGACAAAACAAAACAATCTAAGCCAAGGCAAGAATTTGGGAACTGAGACACAAATTTCTAATAAAAACTGCCAGTCTGAAAGCTAATTAGCCATTAGAAACCACAAGACACTTGCTTTTGAGAAGAATCACCTGAAGTCTCCTGTACCATGCCACAGGCAAGACATGGTATTTAATAAATTCTTAACACCTCAACATCTGAAGAGAAAAAAAATGCTAAACTTAAAGATATGTATCTTATATTAAATACTTTAGGGATACAAAGGCAGATAAAACTAGATAATGCTGTGTGGCTTTTCTCCTTTATGGAACTTTATTCTAATCCTGGAACAAAAGAAGACAAGTTACCCTACGGAATAAATTTTATTTATGATTCCATTACATTTGTTTAAACATTAGACAATAAATTCTTCACACACTGAGCCACACTCACAGGAATTGGCACTGCTGCATGGTCAGATTATGCCCAGCTGGAAAGAGGCATTTTGTACCTGGGACAGATCCCAAATACCATATTTTTAGAAGCAGATTTGTTTGCTTCTCCAGGTCAAAGATCAGTTTTGCCACAACCAAGGAAGATCTCAATCAGCACAGCTAGACACGATAAAAACCCTTCCACAGAGTGAGAGAAAAGGGACAGGCAGCTCACACAAAATAAAGGCTAAAAAGAAATGTGAAAGATAAAGATAGCAGTATCAATGGGGTCAGAAATGTTTAAAATACATGGGGTATTCATTTATTAAGATTAAACAAACATTGAAGACAGAAGTCCATATGCACAAAGCAAATTTACCATAACAGTTTAGGAAAATTTATGGACTCAGAGGAATTCAAGCACTGCAGCAGCCGTGAGGCAATAAGAAACAAACAAATGCATGTCCTAACAGCAGATGCCTTTTTCCATGTAAAACCCTTTTTCTGGACATCACAAAACTCCTACACAGTACCCAGAGGGAGGCTTTGCAGATAGGACACTTAGATTAAAATCTGAGAAACTTCAGAAGTGAAAATTCCATTAACACGACGACTTTCCACGTCATTTTCACAAGACATTCACAAAGGTATTTGTAAGCCCTCGAGCTACCACACGTACCAAGGTTTTATGAAAGCTTTTCCTGTGAAAAAAGCAACCCATGAAACGTGGTTTGAGAGAGCTTCCCATCATCAGCTGTGGGTACAAGATCAAGTCTAGCACAAATTTACAACACTGCCAAAGGGACCAGCCCACCCACTCGCAGAGGATCCTCCCCCTCCCTACACCAGCAGCTATAATAAAGATTTGCATAAATAACTTATTGCATCAGAGCAGTTCCCAGCTCAGCTCATACCAGCACCAGCACAAACTGAGATTAAAATACAAACAGCTGGATTGGGATAAGGGGTTCCACTGGAGTGAGCTCCCAATCCCCCCTTTCTGCTGAAAAGAAAAAATGAGATTATGTGATGCTGGAACTCTGGATGCCGAGAATTTTGGACGCTTTGCTTTTAGAATTGCAGCACCTCTGCTATGAAAAGCAAAGCAGGAGGGGCCATTTTATTAACACAAGCAATTCCAGAGGCAGCCCTGGGTGCCTTATTTCCTAACCTGGCTGCCTGCATGTTGCAGACATTTTTTCATAGAAATCCTTTTTTTGGGACTTGTTCATCTTCTGGGAAGCAGAGGCCCCAGAAAGAGAATGTAAACAATGATGATCAGCTGCTGTGAAATGCAATAGGATGCACCTGTGATTGGTTCATGTTCCATGTGTGCAATTAAGGGCCAATCACAGGGCAAGCTCTCTGGAACACAGTGACAGAGAACTCTCTTGTTTTTAGATTCTTTTCTATTCTGTTCTTATCTTAGCAGCCTCTGCAACTTCTCTCTTTATTCTTTTTAGTATAGTTATAATGTATTATATATCATATATCAATAAATCCAGCCTTCTGATCATGAAACAAGATTCTCGTCCTTCTCTCACCCTGGAGACCTTCATCAGGTCGCTGTAATACCTGCACAGCTCCCAGCAGCCAAACCTCCCTGTCAGCATTCCCACCACTGAAGAGTGGATGGTTCCATGCAGAAAGCTCTTGGCAGGGCACGGTGCAAGTTTCTTTCATTACCCAGGCAGGCACTGCTCTCACAACTGCTGGAAGGAGATAATTTTTCCTTTTACCAATCCAGAAACTGTAATATCCTTTGTGCCAGCTGTTGGCTGATCTCTGCTGGAATGACAGAGATGTCCCCATGCTCTGTGGGTTCAGGCACGACAACCACTAAGGGAGAGTTTTCCTTTGCTCCAGTGGGAAAGGGAGAAATAAGATGACTTTGCAGAATATGCTGCAAATGAGCTTTAAGGCTGCTATAATTTGCATCTAACCTAAATATTTTCATGGAGCTGCTATTAGGGAAATCCATGACTTTAGGAACAAGTCTTCAAGAATAAACAAATCCCAAACACTCTCTTTGCTTGGCACATTCACAGCAGCTGAGCAGGAAAGGGCACAGGCTCCACTAAGAGGACTTGGAACTCAGACTCTCTTCTTCAAAACCACAGAGCTACCACACCATTACACTGCAAAAAGGCCCTCAGAGTGCTGGGAAAGCACAGACTGGCTAGAAATGGACTAAATACTTGCTCCAGGGTTGTCCACGTGATGATTCTTTCAGTTTTTCCTACAACCATCCCAAAAGAGATTGGGAAGAATACAGCAACTGGAATACATGGACTAGAATTTCCACTAAATCCACTGGAAGACGTGGTGGATTGAACTATTCCAAACATGCAGAGCCCTCACAGCAGCCAGCAGAAAGCATCCACAGAGATAATCCTGCCCAGCCTAGACACTGGAATGTACACACAGCCTTAACCAAGAAAAACAGGGGGAAAAAAATGACTTACCACCTAAAAACCCAATGGATCTGGAAAG